GCGCGGTTCGCAGCACGTGGCTGGCTGCGGAGCGGCGCGGCGGCCCGGGCGACGTGTGGGCGCGCTTCGCCGTGGGCACGGGCGGCCTGGCGGCCGAGGAACGACGCGCCCTCGAGCGCGAGCAGGCGCGGCACGGAGATCTGCTGCTGCTGCCCACGCTGCGCGACGCCTACGAAAACCTCACGGCCAAGGTGTTGGCCATGCTGGCCTGGCTGGACGAGCACGTGGCCTTCGAGTTCGTGCTCAAAGCAGACGACGACACCTTTGCGCGGTTGGACGCGCTGCTGGACGAGCTTCGCGCGCGCCAGCCCGCGCGCCGCCGCCGCCTCTACTGGGGCTTCTTTTCGGGCCGCGGTCGCGTGAAGCCGGCGGGGCGCTGGCGCGAGGCCGCCTGGCAGCTGTGTGATTACTACCTCCCCTACGCGCTGGGCGGCGGCTACGTGCTCTCGGCTGACCTGGTGCGCTACCTGCGCCATAGCCGCGAGTTCCTGCGCGAGTGGCACAGCGAGGATGTGTCCCTGGGTGCCTGGCTGGCTCCTGTGGATGTGCAGCGCGAGCACGACCCTCGTTTCGACACGGAGTACAAGTCCCGTGGCTGCAACAACAAGTACCTGGTGACACATAAGCAGAGCCCGGAGGACATGCTGGAGAAGCAGCGCACGCTGCTGCGCGACGGCCGGCTGTGCTCACGCGAGGTGCAGCTGCGCCTCTCCTATGAGTATGACTGGTCTGCGCCCCCCTCGCAGTGCTGCCAGCGGAAGGAGGGCATTCCCTGACCCCACCCAAGGAAGCCTGGCCGGGCCTGGCGTGTACCAAGCAGCCTGGACAACCTCAAGGCCCAGGCCTTTGTAGGTGTGCAGACCCCGTGCTGCGTGCTGCCCCAGTACAGCCAGCAGGAGCACAGCTTATGGTACTTCCCTGCCTCGGGGACCGACCTCTGCCCCTACATGCCCCAGCTACGGCGTTGCAGGGCTCACTGCACACCCGAAGCGCTGAGGACGGCTGGGACCGCACCCACCTGCCGGCCTCTGCACTGAAGCCCCCATATGGCCCGCACAAGGGCCGGTCGGCAAAACTGCCTTTGTACCTTTTGTACAGCTCAAGATGGTTCTTTGTGTCTCTGGTCAGTATCATTAATAATGTTTAAGGCTGAGAATTGAGTTGGCTTCACATTGATTAGTCTCGATGGCATTGTGCTCTGTCTCCTAGAGTGAGTTCATAGTAAATATACTCAGCGTTAGCTTGTGTCCTATTGATAAATACTGAAATTTGTATCAGTAAGTTTTAAGTTGGGAGTGTCCAGGTATTTTTTAAATTATTTAAAAAAAGACTTTCCTATCAGAACTTGAAATTTGTGGGTTAACCCGCCGGCAACTTAATTGTCTGACATTGCTGCTTTGTGTTTAAACATGAAGAATTTTCCCACTGCCCATTTGTCTTTTAAGTTTACATATAAGTCAGTCCCTTTGTCTCTTTCTGAACAGACTTTCCTTTTAAGGCCTCCACACAGGCGTTCAACATCCCTGTTGCTTAGATCAGTCCAAGTTCCAGGAATTAGCCCTTGGTGTGTTAACAAGGCGTGCCATATTCTGCCTTGAGAAAATGGCTTGCTGGCACCCAACCACACAGACTTTAATGTGGATGGCATATCCCTTTCTTTTTAAAACATTTTTGCTCCCATTTAATATGAAAAAAAAAAGCCTAGTCATTGCAAAAGTGAGCCGACTTGAGAACAAGCAGGTGGTTGTGGTGGCCTCATCTGTTGCCCTGCACATGTGCTCCTGGGCTGAAGAGACCTTGTCCAGCCGCCTGGGCTCTGTGGACCCCCTTTGGAAATGTGAGTGGAAAGGGGACACTGCTGCCTTTCATCACCTTCCTTTTGGGTTCTTGGGCTGTGAACTTACTCTCCTGAAGGAGGAATACCCAGCACTAAACTTGAAAATGGGCCTTGTGGTCAGTGGCCTGCTCTGCCCTTCAGAGTCTGTGGGACCAGTAAAGTCTTGAGGCCTGTGCAGTTCAGAGGTGGGTGCCAGTGGGCTCCCTAACAGCCCCTTGAAGCCAGGATGAGCAGTCCTGCTTGTCCAGTGGGAAGAGCCAGGCTGAGTGGAAGGGATGTTGGTATTGGTAATGAAGAGACCATGCTTATGCCAACCATTTCACCTGACCCTTACAGTTTGAGGAGTTAGTGTATCTCTACTCGACAGATAAGGAAGAGGAACAGGGCCGGGGAACTGGCTCAGTAGAATGAGTGCTTCCCTGGCAGGAGCAAGGGCCTGAGTTCAATCCCCGGTTCCACCAAAAAAAAAAAAAAAAAAAAAAGGGAAGAGGAACATTGAGAGGCTGGAGTCCAGGAGACCGAGTGGTGGGAGCAGAACCCACACCATGCCCACAGTGCAGATGTCAAAGTTGGCCTTGCAAATGTAAATAATCCCCTCTTTGCCAATTTTCTTATTGCTGGACCAAAATATCTGACATCCAAAGTTAAAGGAAAAAAGGTTTATTTAGCTCACAGTTAGTAAAAGTTTCAGTCTATAATCAGCTGGCTCCAAGGCACGGTGGCCTGGCAGATGAGTCAGAAGAGAAACAGTTCACAGCAGGCAGAAGACGGCAAAGCAACAAGGGGTCTTAACAGTGTCTTTTGGCCCCTCTTATCCTGGCTACTCAGGGTGAATAGTACTCACCCTTTAATTCTCATGCCCTTGACGCTAGCATTGCATCATGAATCAATCCCAGTGTCACACACGCTGGATCAAGCCACCTCTTAAAAGGCCCCACACTTGATGTACAGTAGAGAAGCCCATGAGGCCAACCCTGGGCCCTGTGAGAGTTCAGGAGAACCACAAGGAAGTACTATACTATGTACAATTTTTTTTTAATGGTAGCAGAATTGAACACATGACCTCACGGTTGCCAGGCAGGTGCTACACTGCTGAGCTCCATCTGTGGCCCACAGTAACAGCTTTGACCTATAGAAATAGAAGTTTTTTTGTTTTTTTTTTTTTTAAAGTTTTGCCCAGGTGTGGTGCGCTTGGCTGGAGGATTTCCATGAGTTCAAGGCCAGCTTGAACTACATAGCGAGACTGTCTCAAACAACAACAAAAGCAGGCTTCATACTGTTCAACCTTGAAACTAAGTTTTAAGGCTGAGCAGAGACACCCAGACTGCCCCTCAGCCATGCTACAGTCAGAGCAGTCAGGACTTGGGGAGTCCAGCCCTCCGGTGGCCTGTGGCCACCTGCTCTCCACAGTCCTGGACCAGGTGAACCAGCCATGAGTGTGGACCTCAAGGCTCCCAGCCTGCCTTCTGCCGGCCTCTGCTTCAGTTCTGAGCCCTTTCCTATCTGACACCTCAAATCTGCCCTGCAGAGTCTCCTGCTGGGGTGCTGGCCAGGGCACTCAACATATCTCCTGGAGCCCACAGCTTGGCCCAGTTGTCTGATCCCAGGTGCCAGCAGGTCACCAGGAAATGGAAGTTGGATCCCCAAGCCCACTTTCATAGGATGCTTGGGGTACTCAACAGTCTATTCTTCCTAGGTCAGACCGATGTCTCTCCTAAAGTGGCCCTGAGATCACCCTCACCTCTACAATGGGGGCACTGGAATGGGACTGCAGCAGCAGTGCCAGTAGTAAGCACTATCCCAAGGTGCTTTAAATTAGACGTCAGCGCTTGCTTGGGAAAGGCCTTGGCCTAGTCTCCTGTTTTCTTCTGAGAGG